TTCCCCTCCCTCCTGTTACGTTCTTTCTTGCTTTGATACAAATAGAGACAAGTTTGTTTGTTTTCCTTTCTGTTAGTGAGTTAGAGAGAGAGAGAAAAAGCTGTGTTTTACCAAGTCAGTAGGAAGATAGAATATCTGTAACCGTCTGATGATGGGCACCTTTTCTGATCAGAAATGTACTAATATGGTCACAAGGGCTAGTCCTTCCACAATGCACCCTTCTGAATGGTACCTTAAAAACCCTAACCACATGCTTCCTTTTAGGAAAAATTCCTTGTCATACCGCGCCTGCCAATGGCCTCTGTGGTGTCATTACTAGTAAACAAGCTTGGAAAAGCTTATAGAGTAGCTCTAGTAGCACTGGCAAACAAGCAACTGTCACGGTGCTAAAGCAGCAACCGCGAAATACGGGGTTTAAAGTGTGAGCTTCTGAGTAGTGTTCATGTCACTCTGCTGCTCATCTCGGCTGGGAGCGCCATAAAGCAGCTCGGGTCCCCGGGAAGAGTGACCTATAATTAGCCTAATTGGCCACTGGATGTCAGTATCTTGCCACAGAAATAAAACCAAGAAGCCTGGCTTTGCAGGTTGCAGAGACGGTAGTTATTCAGGCTGGGTTTTTTCTCCCTTAGAAATCGCTTTAGTCATAAAATACCAATTCTACACAGCCGCCCCTACCCCCCCCCACCACCATCGATGTCTTATGAAATAGGGCTTGAGACAATAACTATGTAGTATTTGAACGGCCCAGAAAACTTTTGAAATTTATCTTAGATACACTGCTGAGGAGATTTGAAATAATGAAAAAATCACAGTTAGAGACATTACTGAGTTGATTTAGAGCTGTTTTGTATGTATACCACTGAATTTATTTGCTTTGACTGCTACCTTCCGCTTTAACCAAGTAAAACCTTCTCCCACACAGCACCTTTTTACCAAGTTAAAAGCAGAGGGAGAACAGTCTTTCTCAGCTAGCTTCCCCTCTCCTCAAAAAAAAAAAAAAAGAAAAAAAAAGAGGAAAGAAGGAAAAAAAGAAGAAAGAGTAAAAGTATAAAGGCATTTTCCAAGGGTGCCTAGTAAATCTGGTGTTTTTCAGGACTGACTGACTTACAAATGGGAATGTTTCCCTTTCTGGTATCACACGGTTGCAGGTGCAGAGAGAGCCAAAGCTGTCGCGATGGCACTTCCAGAGAGGTGTAGGGCACAAGTTCTGGGGCACATCCTGCTATACATAAAATCTCAGGTGCTAAGGAGGATTAGATGGGATGTTTTGGACTGTTCTCCTAAATTTAGCAGCCTAATGCTGCTAAGTGCAATTTATTGGGATTTAGGGTTTTTAAAATTCACTTGCTACATTGAACTTTTCTTTTCACTGGAACCAAATTGAGCTCAGCTTGCAAAAAAAGAGCGTTAGTCTTGTACATTTTTTTCCCCTTGGTACTAGTGTCTGCAGAAGCTGGATAGCAACCAAAGTGGAAACTAACCAAATTGCCTAATACTCTGTGCCCAGCTCTGCTCTGATTGAAGTCAGCAGTAGACAAATTAGATCTGAAATTATCATTTTGGGGAAAAAAACTATGGCAGACAGTACATTCCTTCCTATAAGCTCTCTGAAAAACATGGTTCAGAAATAACTTTCACTGGCAGTTTTCTATATGAAATATATACTGCCTATGCTAAAAATACGCATTAACAAACAGTATATTTAGCATATTGAGACTGACTTGCAATTTTCGACATGTGATTAAACTAAAAAGTGTTTATTGTTAGAATTGTAGTGGAAGGCTGAACAAATCAGCTAATTAAAGATACTGGTGGTTTGGGGGCTTTTTTGTTTGTGCTGTTCTTCGCCTGCATATAATACCCACACAGCTCACAGCTGCCAGAGAAGCCAGCCTGGGAAAGCAGATTTTCCCCTTGAGCAGGAGGAATTATTCTAGCTCTTTCCGAGTCTGGCATCACTTGATTTTCTTGGTCCTAAGATTGTGACACTAACCACAGTTTTCAGTTTAACGGTTTTCCTTTGTGTCCCTTCAGTACTGTTACCAAACAGCACGACGTCCTAACTTCTTCCACTTTTTCTTGAACATGTGTTACAAAATAAACAATACCAGTCATTCATTTGTAGAGAGCATCATGGGAATGCTATGCAGCCCTCTGTTAAGGATAACAGTGGCAGCCATGGCTCTCCGATCAGTGGGAAGCTGGAAGGCATCTTCTTTAGCTGCAACACCGAGTTTAACACTGGGAAGCCTCCACAAGATTCACCTTATGGAAGATACAGGTTTGAGATTGCAGCTGAAAAACTCTTCAACCCAAATACTAACTTGTACTTTGGAGACTTCTACTGCATGTACACAGCCTACCACTACGTCATTCTCGTTATCGCCCCCGTTGGATCACCGGGAGACGAATTCTGTAAGCAGCGCCTTCCTCAACTAAATATAAAAGATAATAAATTTCTGACCTGCGATGAAGAAGACGGTGTCATGGTTTACCATCATGCCCAGGATGTTATTTTGGAAGTAATTTACACTGATCCTGTGGATCTCTCCCTCGGCACAGTTGCAGAAATTACTGGTCACCAGCTAATGAGCTTGTCTACTGCAAATGCAAAGAAAGATCCCAGCTGCAAGACCTGCAATATCAGTGTTGGACGTTAAAACTTCCCTGGTTACTTAGGAGCCTTCAAACCTCTGTTGCCCATTTCCATAGTCAGACATTTTTGTCAGAAGCATGCACATGCCGCTGTCACCAAAAGCAAACACGAGTCTTCAAAATCTCCACTAGCGTTTTTAGTATTTCTTCTCTCCCTCTTTCCCTTCTGTTCCCCCGATGCTTTAATGGTTAGAAGTCCTGGATTTCTTTCTGGCAACCATTTATACCTAGATGCTGCAAAAATTGTTTTCTGTTTCTTGCCAAACATAACAAAATCCTATATAAACTGCTTTAGCAAAATAAAAATAACAGCTTATATAAATGGTGTTTAAATATGCATTCATTTTAACTACTGAACAAATACTGGGATAACTCCAAACAGCATGAAAGGTTGTAATTGCAGCATGATTTAAACTTCAGAGCCTAGAAATGTCAGCACTTCCAACGTGTTGTTTGACAGTGTTATTTATGTTATTTATATTAGCTAACTGAAAACAGAAACTGTGTCTCGACATAATAAATATAATAGAAAAATATTTTATTTGTACTGTTGTATAAAATATTATACAATCATATAGAATATATAGATTACATTTTAATATCAATTGTATACATATGTCATGAAATCATTTTCCCTTATCAAAGATGTAGTTTGTAAACTTCAAATAGCTCTGTATCTGTTCCTGTTGCTCTAGATGACTTTAATTAAAACAGATTTACGAAGGAGACCATTTCTGATTCATAAAAGTTAAGTTATAAATTATCAAGTCAGTACACTGAAACAACAAACCTCAGAGAAATAAAAAAATTCCTTTTTTAGTGTTCATACTTCTTCCTCCAAACTACTTGAAAATGTGTACGTCTTCAAAATCATGCCAAGTCATAACATACAATATAAATACAAACATGGTTGGTACATAATGGGCTTTATAAAATGAAAATCTTCTTACCAAGATAGAAAACAGGTTGCTTATACTACGTGGTCAATACAAAATGACAGTTAAAGCAAAACACTAAACATGATTCAACTTATTTGAGTCCTTTTTTTTTTTTTTTTTTTTAAATTATTCTTCCTTCCTTTATGTCTGGGCTAGGTATTTCCCAGAATCCCTGCTTTTCATTTCTAGTACAAAACCCACTGATAATCCTTCCGTTTGTTAATAGTCCACTTTTCACACAAATGGTCTATCACAAATAGTGAAAAAAAAATCTCCTTAATAGTACAAAGTGTGGTGCTCTGAAAGTTAAGAAAGATGCATAATTCCAATGGAAAAAAATATCTTTTTTATAATCTTATTTATAGTAAACAAGAAGTCTAGCGTTCCTCATCAGATAACTGTGACACTCAATTATATACCATGTACTTTATCTATCCAAAATATCTTAGCATAATGCAATAATCTAGTCTGGTTTTAATATATATATGTGGCAATTTATAACACAAGAAATACTTTGACATTTTACAAAGTGCATGCGTCTAAATGAGCTTTGGTAGTTAGAAAAGCAAATGTTATAGCATCAGGCAAAATAAAGTGCAAAGTTTAATACATAAATCAAAATTAGCATGTAGTTGATCTATTTACTGAATTTTAAGTACCATGAGCCAGGTCCTGTGAACCATAGTGAAAAGGACAGCAGCCAGTACATTTGTTTTATCTCTTCCCAGGAAACCGTATCTATTTTGTTTTGCCAAACATTTTCTCTTATTTCTAAAAAAAAAAAAAGTTCCATTTGGCAGTCATGTTCCATCCTTCTTTTTTTGCATAGGCAGCATCACTTTGCCCTACTCCCAGAATTTTAGACCAAATCCTGGCACAGGTTCTTTGTATGCACCTTTCTTTGAAGCTGCTGGAATTCAACAGCAATGCTGTCTTGAAAGATAGCATACGTTCATGAGTTTTTCGCTCATGTTTCTTTTAATATCTATCTATCTAGTGAATTGGCACATTGAGAACCGACATTAATAGTTCATTATAGTGCCTGTTAATTCTGGAAAGAAAGGTGTGGTACATTGTCATGTACTAAAAACCTGGAGAGCATTTCCTCATGCTTTTTAAAACTAAGAGCAGGTCAAACTGACAATCTACAATACTTCAGCGTCCTTTTAATTTCTAGCATTCTCACAGTGCACTTCAAGGCTTTTTCAAAAGGAAAAAAATATATACCGTAGTCCACTCACCCGTGCTTAATTAATAGTCTTGCATATTGCTGTCCTCTCTCATCCCAGCTAGTATAATTGGTAAAGTGCATCAAAAATCTCAGTGTGTCAAATAATTGTGCAGCAGACCAAGACCTGTAAAATTACTTCCTCTTTTTCATTACGTGTTTGTTTGCTTGTTTTTTTGCTAAAGAACAGTATCACAGCATTGCATTCGCTTCAAATTGTTTTGGAAATATCATGCTTGCTGATGAGAACCTCCAAGAGCCTGATTTTAGCTTTCATGTGCTTGTATTCGGAGTATTCTTCAGCCATTGGCACCCGATCTTCTTTTTGAGGACTCCTATGAAAAGCAAATAAAAGTGCCATCACTTTTATCAGTAAGAGGAGAAACAGTCTTTAAAATTAATTCTGCAACAACTAATGAGAATTGGGTTGGATTTTTTTTTTTCCTAACTGTAGGTGACTAAAGGTAATATTTGACAGGATCAAAAAGCTCTAGTAGGCAGAAATGAAATAACAGTAATTAAAATACTCAATTTTCATATACCAAGTAATTTTCTTTCTTGTCAGCCATGCAAGCATGACAACTTCATTCTCAAATGTGCAGAGAAGTTATTACATAGTGCTTTGAAAACTGTTACCAGAATACTCCATGTCCGTATCATCCGTGGTTTTCAGCAAAAACGTTTGCTAAATGAAGGGAGAAGGATAAACGGCGAGTGTAAAGTAGCCAGTATTGTCTATGGGTGAAAGAAACAGTGGTTCCTGCTTTCAAATCTGGCCTTTAAAAGTGGCCCAACTGCCAAGTGTAATCCCTGCAGATTGACATCCTCAGAAAGACTCTTTAGCAGCCTCCCTTCAGCTCAGGGTTTATACCTTCCAGGCATGTCCTGGAAGCTCCCCAGGTCCAGACTGTCCTCAGGGATGCCCACATCCCAGAGGAACTAAACAGGGAGGTGGACATCTCCACAGAGACCAGACACCTCCACGGTATCTTCCAGTCCCTAGCAGCAGCTTTTCTGGCCTGCTCCCCTAAGAGTAACCACCCTAGCAGGAGCAAACAGGTCTGTATAAGAGCCCAAAGGGGAGAAGGAGAGGGCTTTTGTTGAGCTGGTTATTTACCTTCCTGTCTGTTTATAGAATTGTTCCTCAAACTCTCTCAGAGCTTTGCGAAGCCTTTTCTTATCTGCTCTTGTTTCTCGAAGATGTTCAAGCAGAACGGGCCTGTAAAACAGAGACAAGAACATGAAACCCCCAAGTGCTTGGAAGTATTGTAAAGGCTGTGGCTTTGGGTAATAAGCAGCTGGCTGCTACGGACCACGGCAGGCACTGATCTCAGTGCCCCGAGATGTTCCACCACATCCCTCCAACTATGGATATAACTGGCAACACGCGATAAACAGTTGTGCTCCTTCCCTTTTACTAGTATTCTCACTCTTCTAATAAAGTGAAGGCAGAGACTCTATGGACAACATGGGAGGAAAAGCTTTCAGGATTGAGTCTTACTGGTGGTCTTAATTCTGTGTGGAATTAATGGAGTTGACAGGGCTCAGAATCTCACAGGAAGTGCTTTGCATCTCTTGAACTGAATTAATAAAGTCAATGTCCAAGCCCTACTCCTAAAAGCAGCTGTTACCAAACATGACTGTGATGCAGTGGAAATGCTAGTGGTACCCAGAATCAATATTTCTGGAGGCCATGTTTTAGCTGGTATTTGGAGAATAAGGTTTTTAGGCAGAGAAAGAATTCTGTTACGACATATGCAGCTGGTTGGTTGGGGTTTTTTTCTGTAATAACAAAAGGCACAGAAATATCTTCACAGCATTTGTGAGCAAACTATTGCATACATAGTCAAGTTACATAGAAAACAAAGACATTTTTATTTACTCTCAATTTTGTTAGAGCCTAGTCAACTTCATTTATGCATCTAAGCACTCCCAATCAAAACACAAGAAAAAGATACCCTCCCACAAGCTCTGAGATCACATCCGTTCCTGGAAGGCATATTCTTCAACAGGTTTCAGGGCTGAGTGATAACAGCCCATGTGCATCTTGAGATTTGCTGTCTCATGCAACCTGAAATTCTTAACTACAAAGCAGGAGGGCTTTATTTTGGTTTTATAATGGAGGGTAGGAGAGTGGTGGTAAGTTTTTTTTCTGGCATCCAGACACTAATAACTATTCTCATGCAAGGAAGAAATTGATTTTATACCCATTCCCTGGCCTCCCACGTGAACATGTATTGCATGATCCTTCACTCAGCTCCCCTGTTGCTGTTCATATGCCTGATGTCTCTGGCATTCTTACATCACTCACAGAGTCAATCCCAGTACACACACAAACAGAGGAGCAGATTATCCTGCGTGGCCAAACTGTGCTTTGGTTTATGACTGCTTTGTAAGAACATAAGTAGTTAGATATCTAAAAATTTTGTAGCAATTATAGGTAGGTCTACGTATCTTTACTATGCCATTATGTCATATCTACCACTCTGTATATGTAGTTGTATCTCCTATCTGCTCACATTCCTTCACCTTTCTCTTCACGGACTTGGCACAAAGTTCGTTCTTTGAATAAATAGCTCAAACCACAGGTATGCTGCCCAAACAACAAATATCATCTGCCTCTTTTCTCCCGTAAGAAAACACTGAGTCACTTCTTTGGTATAGAATATTCCCATGCAGTAAGTATGGATCATGTTTCATTTACAAAGTCTATATGAAATATTTTAAAACATTCAGGAAAAAAAAAAGACAGAACTTACATTGTTGCCTCGTGTAAATTGGACATAGACAAGGCTGTTTGCCTGAAAACTTTCTTTTCATCCAGAGGTGAAACATACGCAGGCTCACTCTCCTCCTGAGAGTAACACAGATGCTCATCAACAGGGAGGCAAGATATCGGACCGGATGATAACTCATGGCTGCTTTGAGAATGCTCTTCATCTGAGTCTTCCTCTTCCTGCTTGTAAAACGTAAAGCATTATTGAATTAGTTGTTTGCATTACAATACTAACAATTAATAGGATGACAACGTAAAGAATTGGGATCTAACTTCGGGATATATTCACGGAAATAGATTACACATATTGAAAGCTTTACCCAGGTCTACCCGAGATTGTTCACGAGAGCTCTCATGGGGCTCACTGAGTTACTGTGTGTTGTCCACCATGACTAAACAGGACAGAAGATGGCCCTGCTTCTGAGTATCTCCAGCCAGCAATTTACTTCTGTTTACACAAAAGCCTTTATAAGTGGCAAGGATTTAAAGAACATTCTGTATTTCTGTAAGCAGTGCAGTCTTGGTGGAACTTGTAGTCCTCTCATATACCATCTACTGTTTGCATTATGTCCAGAAATTCTGACTGTAACAAGACTCGGAGATAGAGATTCCACAGTTTTATAGCTACAAATGTTAACTACCAAAATAGAGTGATGTCACTCATTGTCTTCCTCATGTTCCTTCACCCTCAGAAGAAAAGTTGATCTTTTGAAACTAAAGCTTAAACATAAAAACTCCTAAGAAGTAAAGCACAAGGGAACGTCAGTTACATTTTTCAAATAAAATATCCGTGTGCATGTGTAAAAAGATTTAAAATTGGGTTTTTCAAAGCAATCTAAAGCTCCACTGTCATCTAACAAGGCAATAGTTCATAATTTTTAAAATCAACCCAGCCCCAATTAGTATTAGATTAGTATTTTTGATAGAGGCATGCTAATTAACTTCCAAATAGCCAGATTCTGCTACTTCTACTCACAGTGAGACCAGTGCTGTTACATTACATTGATATATTATTAAAGTACTACAAACAATATTTATGTGCTACGTAATTGATAAAAGCATTGACAATAAAATACAGAAGATAGATATAGTGACAGTATAGGGCTTCATGAAAAGAGATAAGTTTCATTCTGTGTTGCATATGTTAGCATAATAGAAAACTAGTGCCAGCCTTTGATCTCTTACCCCGTCGTTTGAAGTGATTGCCTCAGAAACTGCTGCCATACATTACAACCTCTGGCATGCTTAGAAGTTGAATTTCATAGAGCATTTGCTCTAGCTGAAATATCAACACCCTGTATTAACCAATGAGCAGATTCTTCAAATATCAGTAGTTCTATTGCTGCCAAACTGACATACAGGTTCAAATCAAACACAGCATTTAATATGTTTACTGGACAATGCATATGAATTCTTTCCAACTTACAATTGTTGTGATCAAAGATGGAGTTGCGAGAAGTTTCTTGATAATTCTGTATCTGTCATAAAGAGGTTTCATGAGACTCTTTTCTTGCTTAGTTACCTAAAGAGAAATCATAACAAAATATACTCCTCCAAAATTAAACATAAAAAAAAAAAGATTTCTCATTTGCTCCTGTAAAGCTAAGAAAGGTATTAGAAGAATATGACCTGATGTGTATTTTGCTTCCATAGATATTCCATGGGAACTGTAGTTTAATCCATACAATTTCTAAAAATGAAAATAGCAATCTATTTTCTAATGGAAAATACCCCACGTGGATTCCTCACTTCCTCGAGCCACATCACCCAGGCAGAGGGTAAACTATTCTCTGTCTCTTTCTGAAGATGCTAATAGAGTTGTAAGAGTTAAGATATGCTTCTACTGTGCATATTGCATTGACACCTCACTTACTTAACTGCAATAATGGCAACAGGTGAGCTACAGTAACATGACAGTCCGCCTGAGACAATATACTCAGCGGCCCAGTGGGATGGTGGGTGCTGAGAACACAGCTTTACAGCCTCAGTGAGTGAGGTGGCTCCATGCAGAATTGCTGTGTGCATCCCTCACTGGAACTGCCTTCCATGATCGGGATTAACTGTCTGTTCATGTAGTTTGTGCTTGCACTAAGTGCATTAGGAGCATTGATTTGGAGGAGAATATTGTTTTAGATCAGGTATTAAGAGCCTGATCCAGCCACAAATGTTTATAAATACAAAAATAAACCTTATGGAAACTAGGTGTGCAGTAGACTGACTTACTGGACTAAGGAAAAAAAAAGAGTAAATCCCACAAGAAAAAAAAAAAAGACAACAGAAAAACAACATGTTCCTCAGTGATTAAATGTCAAAACAGGGTCATTTCCAAACTAGTTCACCATCAGCCTCTGCTCCTCAACTCACATGCCTATCAGCACCCACTGGATACGACTGCACTGTCTTTTCGCACAACTACTGCACTACTGCATTGAAGCCCAGCTACACACGCTCCGATGAGTGACCACACGGCAGGTTTGAAGACACACATACTGGCTGATGGTATGGACAATAGTCCAGAGTTGCTCAGAAGCAGACAAATCCCTGGTCAGCAGGAGTAAGGGTGACAGTAGACAAATGCAGGTTGACGACACCGCATATGTCTGGCTGATTGAGTCGTTAGGGACTATTTCTAGAGGTATGCTTCACTGCAGAATGTCAGGGCTTGCCTATCCCAGCTAGTCCACTTCTCTTCCCCAGTCTTCATGTTCCATTTGATTGCAACACATTCAAGCTCTAGGAAATGCCAAACAAGCCAGAACAGATCATTTTTTGTTTTAAACCTAGTCAGTGCCCTCTCCATCTGACTACTCAGGTAAGTCTGGGTAAAGATGGTGTCATCCATACTATACATCAGCAGGGCAATCATCATCACCAGTGCTCTCCGCTGTGTTTCAAGGCTGCTGTAGTCATGATACTCTGAATATGCAGCAACTTGATAATTTTTTCTGATGGGTTCTCTCTTTGTACTCCCAAAGGAGGTTTATACAATAACTGTGACATTGTCTAGGACTGAATTTTGCTATTTGCTTTAAAAACAACAAAAAACCACCACCATCAACAAACACCACTAAAGTTTTTGCATAATAGGCTAAATTTCTGATTATTTTCTTGGAATCCCAGTACACTCTATTCCAATTAACCTTTTGATAATCCTATGGTGTGATATTTGTTAAGTGACAAGGCATGTCACGGGTTGCTAGCTCAAACGTGCACTTGCAGCCCAGAAAGCCAACCGTATCCTCGGCTGCATCCAAAGCAGTGTGACCAGCAGGTCAAGGGAGGTGATTCTGTCCCTCTACTCTGCTCTCACAAGACCCCACCTGGAGTACTGCATGCAGCTCTGGAGCCCCCAACATAAGGAGGACATGGACGCTCCATGTTGGAGCGAGTTGAGAGGAGGGCCACAAAGATGATCAGAGGGCTGGAGCACCTCTCCTATGAAGACAGGCTGAGAGAGTTGGGGTTGCTCAGCCTGGGGAAGAGAAGGCTCCAGGGAGACCTTATAGCAGCCTTCCAGTACCTAAAGGGGGCTTACAGGAAAGCTGGAGAGGGACTTTTTACAAGGGCATGTAGTGACAGGACAAGGGCTAATGGGTTTAAACTGAAAGAGTGTAGGTTTGGATTGGACATAAGGAAGAAATTCTTAACTTTGAGGGTGGTGAGGCACTGGAAGAGGTTGCCCAGAGAGGTTGTGGATGCCCCCTCCCTGGAAGCGTTCAAGGCCAGGTTGGATGGGGCTTTGAGCACCCTGGTCTAGTGGAAGGTGTCCCTGCCCATGGCAGGGGGGTTGGAACTACATGATCTTTAAGGTCCCTTCCAAACCAAACCATTCGATGGTTCTATGAAACATCTGAAGTAGGGAATCTTGAGGCTTCGGCAATCAACGTTCAATATTGTGAAAATCCATTTTCTGCACTGGGACAGCTCTTTGATAGCAGGCACCTGTTTTCTTAGCAAACGTCACCAGAGTGCCTCTGCCTGGGCAGTCACTCATTTGCCATCTCCAAGTCATCACTCCCCGGCTTTTACAAACTGTGTGAGCTTCCCCAGCAGATCTCTCTTTCCTGGATCCCTCCAGCTCTGAACTGGGCACAGGCCCTGTGCTTGCCACTGAGTTGGGACCTCACTGGCCTCATTCTCCAGCTGTTCTTGGTGCCCAGGATGCATGCAGACTCTTCACCCCTTTCCCGCAGGAAAATACATTGATATAGATACAAAGACTAAAATTTGCTTCTGTAAGAGACACAATTATTTAAGTATGCAACTCTGTGTGGAGTGGCTCCTGATTGCTTGTTTATTTTCAATGACAAAAAAAGATTTAGAAATCTTGCCTAACTTTCATGACCCTGCTTTAAATTCTTGACTGTTGCTGAGCTTTCTGTGACCTTAAGTCAGAGCTGTTTGGCAGTCTTAGGATTCCCTCATGGCGGCTTAGTATCACTGATCACCTCTTTCCTTATGTAGTTAGCATCTTCTTTCTTAGCTGATCATAGCGCTTCTTCAGCCTTGAGAAAAGGAACACCCTCTCTGACCCCCATGCTACAAAGCATGCCCTATTCTCTTTTCTATCTTTGAATCTTTAAGTCTCTTTTACCTCTATATAACACTAATAACTCAATTTCTTTTTTGTTCTCCTTCTTAGGAAATGAAATTTCTTCATACCCATAGATATATTCTATCCACCCCTCAGCTCTCATTCCAAGCCCAAAGAAGATGGACAAAAAAATTATTTTATCCAAGATGCAGAGAGATCAGATTCAGATCACAATCATTTTAACAGCTGGCATATTTTTGGACACGTGTTGGTGCCACTCCCTTTTCCCCTACGACAACAAGTACTAGTCAGAAACAGAGACAGTCATAAGAATACAGACTTAGACATCAAACAGGAATTCTCAGCTGTGTATAGACAAATTTTCAAATCATCCTCTCACCAATGTTTGTTTTGTACCTACATTCAGCAATGAAGTCCCTTGAAAGGATTTTAATTAATAGTTTTAAGTGCTGCTGTGAAATAAAGGAAAACACAGATGACAGGTCATGTCATTTTTGTAGTTCACATCTCAGATGGTGCCCTATAAACCTTTCTCAGCTGCTAAGCATTCTAATGTTTCATACGTCATAGCAGAGCTACAGTATGCATGAGCCAAGTCTGCTGTGGATGTACAATCCTCCACCTTTATCATCAAACCCTGCAACTTCCAATCATGAAGAGAGATACAGGGCCTCTAGAAACTTGCCCTTTTATTTTATTTTTTAAAATATAAACCAAATTCATCAGTGTCAGGCAACAACATTTATACCTGAAATAACTAAAATTATGTTAATAGTGTAAAATTCATCTAAATACATTTAATATATGCATCCAAAAATATTTGTTAGAGAAGTTAGATAATTTTTAATTTACCTATCTTTCCATGGTATACTTACAGGTTGTCCATGAATACTCTCAAAATATAGTAGACATTTCTGAAGACTGATTTTTTCCAAAGCCATTTGCTTTTTTGTCATATCCTATTTAAAAAAGTTATTTATAAGATTATGAATCAAGATTTCATGACAAGGGTACAGGTATGTATCTGTTTAATCATCTATTCTCCCCAGATAAACATTAATAATGAATTCTGTTTCTGTCCACACTGAGGTCAATGGGGACTTGGCATTAACCTAGCAAGAACAGAGTCCAAATTTACATGACTGAAGTTTTAAATGAATCAAAGTACATGCTACCTTCTCAAGGCCTAATGCCAAGTTGATGAAAGCTATGGAGATAGTTCTACTGATTGGAGTAGGCTTTAGGTCAGGCCTTTACCAGTGGAAAATACACTGTATTTACTTTGTCTGGCCAAAGTGGAGCCTTTGGGGCCTGAAGGTGTGCTCTTTCTTCTAGAGAAAGATGCATGACTGAAAATGTACTGGAAGGATGGAATTATTATTTTTCTTAACTGTCATTATATAAAGATCTAATACTTGATTGCCTTGATTTCTTTCAAAATTACTATTCTATGAAAGCAGTTTAACAAGCTTAAAGTCAGGAAGCAGTATTAGGCTATTGACAGAACACTGCATCCTTATCTGGAAAGTTTCCAAGGGTACAAACTATGGTCTTAGTCAAGAAGGCAAGAATCTTCATGTGTTGCTGGATCAGAGCCTGTATCTGAAAAATTTTTCTGGGAATACTGGTTGACAGAAAGTGTAAACAAGCAGAGGTTTTTGCTTTAAAATCACAGCCAAATTGCGTGCACATGAGGTATACGTCATTGGTTGGGTTTTGGGAAGGCAGGCTCACAAAAGATGACTGCAACATATGAGTAGAAGATGTTGGCACTGAAGTCCCACAGATACCAGTGCAGTACTTTCCTAGAACATTTTCCAATGTTTAGGTAACATTTATGAATAATAGTTGTAACTGAAAAACTAAAGAAGTATTTTTCTTATCCATCCTAGGGAGAAATCAATTAATGAGATCTGTATGTTATTAACTTCTATTTGCCAGATCAGTTCATAAATCATATATAGTGTTCCCCATTATATATTAAGTATGATTTAGTTGTAACAAATGAGAACAACAACCATTGTAGACAAAATGCTCAGAAACTTGCAAAAATGCAGAGACGACATTCCTCAACTTTTTAAATTATTCATCAAGAGAGAGAAATAGATTTGCCTTGGCTGGTAAGGGATGAAGAACAGAAAGCTTCAGCTATGCAAACACAACTCATTTATGGAGTGGAATGATAGATTCACAATGAAATCCCTAAATATTCAATCATTGTGGTACTCTGGTGAACACCCCATCAATGCTGAGCATACTAGAAAAAGGTGCTGTCTCTAAAATTAAATGGAAGAATAATCTGATCAGGCAGCAGGAAATTATGGCTGGACGGTATGCATCTGTAGAACCACTATGGGGAAGCTGCAGAAAGTGCAGCCCTTTAGTTACAATGGGAACGGAGGTGGGCTTTCTTCCTCAGTCACGAGGTTCTTGCTCAGCTGGGCTTAACACCTAACACTAGCAGTTTATTTCTGTTCAAAAATCACAATATGAATCACTGGTACCAGAAAGAATAACGCTGATTTTTCAACAATGCAGTTTGTCAGTGTTGGTGATATAGCAGTATTTGTATAGGTGTCTGATGCAGGGAGCACACCATTTAACTGGTATTTCCCTCCTCCTCCTCTCCCATTCCCTCTCTTCCCAAGAAGATCTGCTCCTGACACTTGCATATTTTCATCTGGGTTGGAACAGCAAGGAGCACATGCAGCTCCTTTTTCCACAGTCTCTGCCAGATCACGACAGATCTGTATGAATTAGGGCCCAGTGTTTGGCGGTTTGGAGAAGAGCTCATCCACCACAATGAAGTAATGTGAAGAACAACGGAGTTTGGTGAGGTGGGGGCAGGCGGGGTGCCTTTCTGCAGAAAGTTGATGACTAGGTTATTTTATTGACAACTTGGAGAAGTATTTTTAATAATTAGCCTCTACTTTTTAAAAATACATCAAGCCCTGAAGAAGTAATGCTCTTCTAATATCAAAGGACTGCCTTGCTGTTAACTTCAGCAGGAGCAAAACCTTTTTTGTTTGCTGCCCAAATGCAAAAACAGTGCAGAACCACTAATCACATTTTGCCTTAAAGGTCTGCGTAAGTTAGTCACTCCAAAATTATCTGTCATTCACGTTAAGAGAAGAGCTACTAACTAGAATGCAGGAGTATGATAAAGTAGCTAATTTGCTTATTTATTGCTAGTTCTGCAATTAATACGAGGTTAATTCTTTCAAAAACTATTAAGCCTAGAGCAGCTGAATGGTTAGGAGGAAACGGGGAGTGATGATTAATATTGATTTTACACATGAGAAACAATCTCAAGAGGGTTTAGCATTTGGGCCTATTTCATTAGCTCATTTTATTAGCAATCTCAAGACGGGTTTGTATTCAGCTAAGTTTGAAATGGCTGATAATTTCAAAATCAGAGAAGGCAGGTGGAATCACAAAATGCAGAATTGTCTGAGACATCTTAGGACTGTAGGCTGCCTACAGCAGCATGAAATTCAGTGCTAATTAAATGAAAACTCTGCTTCATAGCCAGAGAAAAGATGAACTGAAGTGGGTCAATAATGAGAAGACAGATACACAAAGGCAACCAGTCTGAGAAAAGCCTTGGGGGACAGACTGCAAATGTTCAAACTAAACATAAGGAAAAAGTTGTTTGTTGCATGTGAAGAAAGAAAAAAGGAGACTATGTGTGAAGCTAAGGTAGCGGTTTGGTTTTTATAACTTGGAACAAAGGCACACAAAATATTGTATACAGCTGTCTTCCTCACTAGTTGGTTCCCTGGGTGCTCATGCCTTTTAAGGTCGCTGTTGTTTTTCCAGACAGAAGATACAAACTCTGAGGACAGACAGTGTGACAGCGAGGACTGGGCCTGGCTGAGGCCTTTCGCTCTCAGAGGCAGCACTTTTGTTTCCAGGCAGGCCCGAGTCCAGGTTCCCAGGGCCTACTAAGTCTGCCACTTGGCAATGTGTGGTGGCTCATTACAAAGCAGCATTTAACACAAAAATAGGAAGAAAAACTTTGAAGGCAGTCAACAAGTGACAAGACACATCCATAGAACGATGCCAGTTTACTTCAGCTGAGGGTCAGGCCAAGTCTGAGTGTAGCCCCCCTGTGAAAGGCCGCGCTGGCTGGTGAACCACAGCCAAGCACCGCAGGGCTGCTGCTCCTCCTCGCTGTGGCTGGGGCGGCTATTACATCCCCAGCCACCGAGTTCGGATTGGCTTAGAAGTCAGGAGTTGGGTTTTGGGGATTTGGTGGGGTTTTGAGTAATACGATTCAAATTATGTCTATTGGCCTTTTTTGGCTCCTGAACTCCTACATTCACAGTCTTAATGTTTTTTTTTGGGGGGGGGGGGGGGGTTTTTTTTT